GGCAACAATTCTTCAGCATCCACAGTTGGCCACATGTCCATGCCATTTATTGGACTAACATTGTTTTCATAACATGCCCTGTAAGCTTCTCTCATGTAACAAGGGTCAACATATTTCTCAGGATCTAAGTTTTGATATTGTAATGCAGAAACAACATGCCTACAAGGTATGCCCACAAGATCCCAAAAACAACAAGTACAGGTTTTTTTCCCAATATCAACAACAAACTGCAATCCATTATATGGGTGATGGACTTGCCACAAATCACCACTGCTCCATGTAGGCAGCCATTCTCCACTAAGATATGTTTCCTTATCAAGCCTTTTCCTAGGATTAGGCATGACATTGTGCTTCCACTTATCAAGCTTAACAACACTATTAGCAATCCTATTCATCATGTAGTTCCTAATCCATTCTACCATAGTGAGTATTGGCTTATCCCTAGCTTGTAATATTGTACTATTGAAAGATTCACTCAAGTTATTCATCAAAACATCACACTTAGGGTAAAATGAAAATGAATGCTTACACCATAGTTTTGTTGGCACTCCCATCAGCCATTCCCATGCCTTCTTATCAATTTGTATAAGCTGATTCATCTTCTTCTCCCAAGCCTGGAAGTAAGTAGCCTTTGCAGCCCCCAATAACAGGTCTCTAATGGCAGCTCCCCCTCCAAATTTCTTCTTGAAATTTGCATACAGGTGTCTGAGGCAGACCCTATGTTCAACTTGCTGATGCATTTCCTCAAAGACACTAACAAGTCCCTAAAAACAGCAAGACAACAGAAAAAAGCATGTACATTAGCAACTTATATATTCCTTATAAATGTTGAACATTAGCAACAGAACAAGGCATGTAACATTAGCAGCAGGTTCTGATAAATGTTGAACATTAGCACCAGAATTAATGCTACAGTTCTATGGTACAGAATTAATACTTCAGTTATATGGTACAGAATTAATGCATACTTCAGTACCAGAATTAGTGCATACTTCAGTACCAGAATTAATGCATACAGGATTAGTGCATACAGAATTAGTGCATACAAAATTAGTGCACTTTGTATAAACCAGAATTAATGCATACAGAATTAATGCATACAGAATTAGTGCATACAAAATTAGTGTACTTTGTATAAACCAGAATTAATGCATACAGAATTAATGCATACAAAATTAGTGCATACAGAATTAGTGCACTTTGTATAAACCAGAACTATGGCACAAAGGTAAGATATTTCATGAAGAACTTCAGTACCAGAATTAAGTAGTGCATATAGGGAAATAAACCAGAAATATGCAACTAAACCAGAACTATGCAAATAAACCAGAATTAGTGCACTTTGTATAAACCAGAACTATGTCACAAAGGTAATAGTGCATATTAGTGCAGAATTAGACATACTTCAGTACCAGAATTAATACATACTACAGTAGCAGAATTAGTGCATATTAGTGCAGAATTAGTGCATGTTTCATAAATGTGAATAACAAAGGTAATTAGTGCATATTTGTACCTTTTGTTGGTCTGAAATAAAAACATACTTTCTCTCTTCTCCAATGTCTTCCATTAGCAATTGCATAAACCATCTCCATCTTTCTTTTGTCTCAGTCTCCACCACACCAAATGCCAAAGGATAATATTGGTCATTCGGGTCCCTTGCTACATCAATTAACAACTGACCTCCATATTGTGTCTTAAGATGACACCCATCTACCCCTATAAATGGTCTACAACCCTTGGTAAACCCTTTCTTGCATCCATCAAAACAGAAGTAAAATCTACCAAATCTTAGTGGTAGTGTTGGATGTGGTCTCTCAGTATTTAGTTTGACAGTGTTCCCAACACAATGTTTTCTCAACTCAGTTGCATATCTCCATAACATGTTATACTGTTCCTTTGCATCACCTTCAATTATTTCTTCAGCCATAGCTTTGGCTCTCCAAGCTTTCCCTTTGGTAATGCCCACTGAATATTTCTGTCTAAGCTCAGACATAATTTCAGACAGTTTAACTTTCCCTTGTGACTTCCTCTTTTCAACCACTAACTTAGAGACCCACTTGGAATTGGCAGACTTGTTATTTAATACCCTTGCACATGTGTGGGTCCCCACCCAAGTCTTTATCTGGTAAGTGAGGCTACCTCCCACTTTGCTACACAATGCCAAAAACCCACATTTACTCTTACACTCAACCCTAACCCTACAGCTCTCATTCTTAACAAACCTTATTTCTCTACCATTTAATACTGACCAATCCCTGATAGCATCTTTAAATTCAGAAAGAGAAATGAACTCCATACCTAATTTGAATTGAAAGTCTTTGTTAAGCAGCTCTGATCTGAACTTCTCATACTTTGGCTTGAAAGGTTTGTCATCCATGTCACTTTCATCAGCATCTGAGCTTTCAAGTTCCTCACTAGCATAATCCACATCTTCACATTTCCTTGTAGCCCTCTTTGAACAAGATCCTAAGACACTTTTGGGCACCAAAACACTGACCTTGTCCCTTTTGCTCTTTTCTTTCATCTTTTTGGGATCCTTGGATGCACAACGCTTGAATCTCAATGATTTCCCTTCGATCTCCACCCTATTCCCACTAACTGGAACAACTACCTCCACTTGTTCAAATTGCTCTTCTTCTACGTCAATTACTCTTTCCTCTTCACTGTCATTGAAACATTGGCTTGCATCAACATAGTCACCAGTACTATCATCTCCACTAGAGGTGCTGAAGTCATCAACATTAGGTACCAGAACCTTGGTCATCATGTCTTCTACACCGTGCTCTACCCAAAGATCACCGTGAACCCTACAAGACATACAATGCTTAGCAACTTCTACAGCTCCTACATCATCAACAACATTTGTAAACCCTTCATCCGTTTGCGGAATCTTTCTCCATAGCCTAAAACCTTCATAACCCCAATCTTTAACCAGACTAACAGCTTCAAAAAAGCTCCATTTATCTTCGTCCTGACCTTCAACAGTAGTCTCACTACCTCCTCTATAATACGTATGGCCGTCTTGCACGAAACTTCCCCATGATGAAACACTAAATTAAACACACCCATTTGCAAGGATGAAGAACCCTAATCGCAGGGTCTGAATTGAGACTGGCTTTTTTTGTAAAATAATTTTGCAAACAAATGAAGATGGATGGCTGCGCCCTAATTTGGAGGGTCTGAATTGAAACATAACATTTGCCAAATAATTTGGGATTTTAAGAAAAGGGCATTCTGGACATTTTATTTGGTATTGTGTGACATGGCATAACAAAAACTTACAAATGCAACAAAAATATAAGCCACATCAGCCTTTTAGGTGATGTGGCATCCTCAAGGTAAAAACTGAAACTTTTAAAATTTGTCAAGGTAACAATTGAAACTTTTTTTTGACAGGGGGATTTTTCAAATACACCTCATATGTCAGGAGTGAAAATAGGTATTAACCCTTTTGGATATTAAGGAATGACATAATTTTTAGGAATGACTGTTGGAACGTTTTAGATATCGTCTGGAAAGTTAAGGTTACGGCGTGGAGATGGTCTTTCATAAAAGATATTACTCATTCCAATTATAATTTTTACGAGTTTAACAAAAATTCTTTATTTTATTTGTCTTAAATTGTAATTAGTTAGTAATATCTTTCACGAGTTTCCACTTGTTTTTTATAAATAAGATTTAATACCCTTTGTACTCCTATCAATTTATCTTGCTTAAAAAACCCTGCGAACTTCAAATCTAAAACGATTTAACTCATATTTTAGATTTTTCGTTGAGTATTTTTATTAAAAATAACATATTTTATATTTACAATTTGGCTATATTTCCTCAACATTTGTATATGTAAAACTAAATAAAAGCATTCTCATATCGTATGGAAAGAAAATAAGTTTACAAACCTAGCGGATATGCCTGTCTTTGACAAACATGATATACAAGCTATGTTATACATATGACCAGGGTACTATGTATTTATTGGTAAACCAGGTTACTATAGAATGTGTTTTTTTTACTTAATAATAGTACATTTTATAATAATATGAAATAAAACTATACACCGTATAATACTTTATTTAAATTTATTAAAAATATTAAACATCAACTTTCATATTGTTTTAGAAGTCATACTAAATGTACCGCCTAAAAATATTTACATTTAAGTGTAATTAATTAGACCCATGACTTTGTAGAAAAACTCTAGATCAGATGATTGGTCTTTAGAAAATTAAATACTTTATATGATCAACCTAAGTGAATGAATACCAATTCCGCTGACCATATTCTGCATACGTGTGACAAGGCATTTTTATTAGAACGTTTCATCAGATAAAATAGGAGTGTTTTGCTGTTGGAATTTTTATAAAACATTGTAATGAATTTGAATTGTTTTTTAATCAAAATATTTATTTCAATTTTTTAAAGTTACAGTAAAAATGATAAATGTTATTCTATTTATCAACAAATGTTTTAGATAATCCTTTAAATTAAAAAATAATAATTATTAAGAATAATGTGTTTAAAAGTCACTAAAAAAGACATATGTCAGTAAGTAGTATATTATTCAAAATTGTTATTAAAGATTTATTGTCCACTAATGAATTAAACTCTTGAAAATGACAAATGAATATAGTATACGATGCATTAAGATAAAAATGATTTTAAAACTCATCAATGTTCTCACACATTACCAATTTACCACTAATAATATTTTTATTGACTGAATTTAGTATTTGATTAAATGAATTTGCAAACTTCAAACCAATTTATTATATGCACTAGTTTGTTGGAAGAAAAAAATCTTCAAGTTTAAATTTCAAAATCATTCACTCACTATTTCAAACAAAGAAAACATGAATTTCTCCCACCATATTTCTCTATATATCAACCTTCATTGCATTCTTTTCTTTTTAATTTCTTCTATTCTCATTATTCTTTCACTCTTTTACACATAATATAATCTCTTCTCAATTACTTCACTATTATTATTTCAACTCATCATGAGTAACTCAAACCAACATGAAAGTAAAGAATCTTCAGAAACAAGTTCACCACCTGAACTCCAATCTTCCATACATGACCCACAACATGTACCTAGGAGTATGTCAAAAGAATTAACACCTTTTCAACGTATGTTTTCTGATCCAAATCTTCCACCTCAACCTCAACAATCGTTACAGGACCCTATTCCAAAACTCACACCGTTTCAAAGGATGTTTTCTAAACAAATCCCGCCACCTCAACCAACGGTTCAAAGTCGTGTTCCTCAACTAAGGCCGTTTCATTTTCAGCCCATTTTTTCACATCCAGTTCCACGGCCTCGACCGTTAATTCCACCACTTCAACAACCAATCTTGTATTTCCCTCCTCGTCCTTCACATCCTCCTCCTCCTTCTCCACCGTATCAACCTCCACGCGTTCGCGCTCGCCTTAACCTACCAAGTGAGAAAAGCGAAACCATCCCTATACCTTTTCCATGGGCAACTAACCGAAGAGCAAGCATTCACAGTATACATTATCTTCGACAAAACGGAATAGTTAACATCACTGGAGATGTCCAATGCAAGAGATGCGATGCAGCATTTCAAATGTCATTTGATGTGAGAGAGAAGTTTCCTGAACTCTGGACATATATTCTCGAAAACAGGCAATTCATGAATGATAGGGCGCCACCAAATGTTTGGATGAATCCAACATTGCCGGACTGCGTGCATTGTAATCAAGAAAACTGCGTGAAACCAATAATCGCTAAGAAGAAAAAGAATATCAATTGGCTGTTTCTGTTGCTAGGTCAATTGCTTGGCTGTTGTAACCTTGCACAGTTGAAATATTGCTGCAAACACACAAACAATCATCGAACCGGTGCAAAGGATAGAGTTCTTTATTTAACGTATCTCGCACTCTGCAAGCAACTTGATTCTACCGGACCTTTTAATGTATGACCATTAACTCATTCGTTTCATGTTATGCTGATGATCTAGGGGGATATTAATGTATTATTTTATGTTAGTGTTAGTTTCAAGTCTTTTTGAACAATTTTAAGGTTTGATAGTATTTGACGTATGACAAACATAGTTGTTTGTTTTAATGTTTTAATGACTGTATTCCTTTTATAATTATTTTTGTTCTGAATCCACTACATGAATATTTTTTATTGAGTAATGTTATTGTTCTTTAATTTCTACTCACTTTTTATTTGTTTGGTCTTTAAAAAGTAAACACTTACACTCCTTTAATTTTCTTTATGATTGATAAAAGAAGAAGGAGAAGAATAAGAAAAGGGGGGAGAAAAATAGAAATTGTTGTGAAAGTTGTTACTGATTTTAAATTGTAAAATTGAATTGTGATTGCATTATGTTGTTTGTTACTATTGTCACGATGTCTTGAAAATAAAGTATAAAGTATTTTTCTATGATCAAGAAACACACAAGAGTAGAAAAGATGGAAAAACAAGAAGAACACGAGAATTGATTATTAACTGTTATTTTTTACTTTCTTTTTAAAATAAGATTACAAGTACAAAAGAATAACAAATATCTCTCTCACCCTAAATTAGGATTTGCAGTATGCAATGATGAGAGATTAGTAGGCTATTTATAATAAACCTAACATACTAAACTAATGGGCTTTTTTTCACAAATATTCATTACAAGCTAACTTAAGGTACAAGCTAACTTAAACAATTGAACATAATAAACAGGTTCAATTCGAAATACTAATAACCTTAGCATTTTGACACCCACATACTAGAACACATTTCGACTACAGTATGTAGGTCTTCTACACTAGCATGTGAACATACTTCGATGACATGCATAAATTCTGCCGAACCAGAAGCTATTCTTCGATCCAATAGAGTTCGATCCAATATCTCACAAATCTTCACCTTGGAACAAACTCTAATATCAAAGAGCAAACTAGCTTTCTTCATGCAGCTTTATCAACTACATACAGTGGAAAAACTTGCAACTGGACAATGTCTTGGTGATCATATCAGCATCATTGTGATTTGTCAAAATCTTCAGCACTTGAACTTCTCCACGCTCGATTACCCCTCTGACGAAATGCAACCTCACATCGATGTGCTTGGTTCGCTCATGATAAGATGAGTTCTTCGACATGTGTATTGCACTTTGACTATCATATTTAACAGTGATAATTTGACCTTGAAGTTTCAGCTCTTTGGCAAAACCTTCAAGCCACAATGCTTCTTTCACAATTTCAATTAAGGAAATATATTCTGCTTCTATAGTTTATAATGCGACAACCTTCTGAAGTGTTGCTTTCCAACTAATTATTGTACCAAACATAGTGAAAACATATCCAGAAATAAATTTTCTGGAATCCATACAACCTGCATAATCAGAGTCGACATATCCTTCAATTACTGCTTTTCTATCTTCACCCAAGGCTCCGCCATAAATTAAGACTATGTTCAGAGATCCATTTATGTACCTTAGAATTCACTTCAATGCTTGTCAGTGAGCCTTTCGAGGATTCACCATGTACTTGCTTACAAGACTTACTGCATATGCTATGTCGGGTCTAGTACAAACCATATCATATATAAAAAAACCCACTATGTTAGCATATGAGATGCTATTCATATAAGCTCTTTCGACCTCAGTACTGGGACACTAATCTATACTTAGCTTGAATTGAGGCTTTGTTGGAGTCACAACAGGCTTTGAATTCGACTTACCAAACTTGTCTAAAATCTTTCGTAGGTATGTCTCTTGAGATAAGCATAATTTCGACTACTTTCTATCTCTTCGGATGTCAATCCCAAGAATACTGGCCACAACTCCCAGATCCTTCATGTCGAACTCCTTATTGAGTTCATCCTTCACCCTCATTACATCTTTGACATTTTTCTTGCTATGAGAATATCATCAATATAAAGCAACAAAATAACAAATGAATTACCAGGTTGAAATCTGAAGTAAACACAGTGGTCGAACTGGCTTCTAATGAAACTTATGCATGCCATAAACTTGTAGAATCTCCTATTCCACTGTCGAGGAGATTTTTTCATCCCATATAATGATCTAATCAACTTGCAGACATAATCTTCCTTTCCCTTTTCGACATACCCTTCAGGTTTCCTCATTAGTATTATTTCATCTATATCACCATACAAGAACGCAGTCTTCACATCCATTTGTTCCAGTTCAAGGTCGAACTGTGCCACCATGGAAAGCAACATTCGAATGGACATGTGCTTCACAACAAGAGAAAACACATCATTGAAGTTGACGCCTTCTTTTTAAGTGAAACCCCTTGCAACCAATCTTGCCTTGTATGTTTTCGACGCCCCTCCTTTGATTCCTTCCTTAACATTGAAAATTCATTTACATCTGACTAACCTGGCTCATTAGGTTTCTTAATAAGTTCTCAAGTGTTGTTATCATGAAGAGATTTCATCTCATCATCCATGGCCTTCATCCATTCAGTCTTATTTCGACTCCTCATAACTTCCTTATGGTCTCTGGGTTCTTCGTCTAGAACCTCACTTGCAGAGATTAAGGCATAAGCTATAAGATTTGCATACCTAAGTCTCTGAGGTGGCTTGATGACTCTTCTCGTCCTATCTCTTGCCAATAGGTAGTCATCTACAGTTTCTTCAACTTCCTCAGCATATTCTACTTCTTCTTCGACTTCATCTGGGATACGCAATTCAGCATCAACATGCTTCACCTCAATAGGAATCTCTACCTGTTCTAGCTCTTCGTCAGATATATTTGTACTTAGACCAACATCATCAGTTTTCTTGAAAGTCATTTCAGCTTCATTGAAAACTGCATCTCGACTAATGATACTCTTCCTGTGACCTGGCTCTAGGCACCATAGCCTCTAAGCTTTGACTTCTTCAGGGTTTCCCATGAACATGCATTTCAGAGCTCTAGGTTCGAACTTGTCTCGCCTAATGTGAGCATAAGCTATGCAACCAAATACTCTCAGTTTGTCGAGATCTGGTGGATGTCCCGACCAAACTTCTTCAAGTGTCTTCATATCTAACGCAGACAAAGGACATCTGTTTATCATATATGTTGCTGTCAAAACAACCTTGGCCCAAAACACCTTATTTAACCAAACACTAGTCAACGTGCATCTAACTCTCTCCAAAATAGTTTGTTTAAACCTTTCAGCCAAACCATTTTGCTATGGAGTACCTGCAGTAGTTATGTGCCTTGCAATACCAGAGGCAACACAAAAGTTGTCAAAAGCCTCATTACAAAATTCAAGGCCATTGTCGGTTCTCAACATATTGACCTTTCCGCCAATTTGATTTTCGACCAGAGTCTTCTAACTTCTGAAATTCTCAAAAGTTTCATCCTTAGTCTTCTAGATGAATACCCATAACTTTATGGAATAATCATCTACTATGGATAGAAAATACCTTGCTTCTAAATGTGATGGACACCTTGCAGGCCCCCAAAGATTGGCATAGATATAATCAAGGGATCTATGTGTTCTTTGTTTGCCTTTGTTGAACTTCACTCTACAAGATTTTCCAAGTACACATGGTTCATAAAATTTCAGCTTTTCGACTTTGTCTCCACCAAGCAAATTTTGTTTCCCAAATTCTACCAAACCCCTTTCACTGACATGGCCCAATCTCATTTTCCAAATTCCTGTCTTCGAATAAGGTTTCGTGGATGCAACATTTGTCGAACCACTTACAACTTCAGCCTCAAGGGTATACAAGCCTTGCTTCTTCACACCTCTCAAGACTTCCTTCGACTCCTTCATGACTCATAGGATACTTTTCTCTCCTTGGAAAACATATCCTTTCTTGTCGAATTCACCAAGAGAAATCAAATTTCTCTTTAAATCAGGTACATATCTGACTTCATTCAATAACTTTATTGACTCATCATGGAGTTTGAATCTCACAGATCCAACACCTGCAATCTTGCAAGCTTTGTTGTTTCCCAATAATACAGATCCACCATCTTGATCACACAGTTCCTCGAACATGTCTTTGTTTAGAGTCATGTGCCAAGTGCAAGCTGAATCCATAATCGACTCTTTTCTTGAGTCGTTGCTTGAAACCACAAGAACATCAGATAAGTCGAAATCATCTTGAACAATGGTTATGTTGCCATTATCCTTACCTCTATGATCTTTCAAGCATTCAGGGCACACCTTTCTTATGTGACCCTCTTTCTTACAATGATAACATCGAATACCAAAGGCTTCACCAATTTAAGACTTCTGTTGACTTTTACCTTTCTTCTTGTTGAACATTCCATCCTTTCGCAAGAATTTTCCCTTAATGACTAAACCTTCACCAACCGTCGAAGGTTTATGCTTCTTTTGTTCGTTCAAGTCCTTAGAACATAAGGCTGATTTAACTTCTTCAAAGGTCACAGACTCCCTTCCATACAAGAGAGTTTCATTAAAGTGAGCATATGTTCTGGGCAAAGCACACAACAACAACAATGCTTGATATTCATCATCTATCTTTACATCAATATTTTTAAGATCAAGAATCAACTTGTTGAACAAATCCAATTACTCAGCCAACACTTTGTCTTCAATCATCTTGAATGAATATAAAACTTGCTTCAGGTAGAGACGATTTACTAATGATTTGGTCATGTACAAACTTTCAAGTTTCACCCATAATGCTAATGCTCTCGTCTCCTTTGATACCAATCGAAGAACCTTATCACCAAGGTTCAACAAGATTGCACTGTGGGCTTTTTCTATCATGGCCATATTTTCTTTTTCCGTTAACACATCTTCCATAGCCGCCGCTCCCTTCAATGATTCTAAATAACTCTATTGAACCAGTGGGGCTTCAAGCGTCACAGACCAAAATCGTTCACTCCAGAGAAGTTTTCAATCTCATACTTTATTGAAGACATCTTCTCCGTGCTCACCGCACTAATTTATTATGAAAACGATGCCTTAAAAACAGAGTATAAATTATTTC